CAAATTGCTGCAAATGTTTTAATACAAAAGCATTCTGTGGTCTCTAATTATATCTAATGGCTGCTGGACGCATTTCTCCAGAGCAGGAATAGGAGCCTTTTCAGAGGATGATTTGGCTTTTTATCAATTAGTCTAATATCTAATTGCACGGAGCAGGAAAGGAAAGGAAATAATAATATTGACTTAAATGTGTCCAGTGTTGGTATAAATGAGGCCTGAACGGGGGGCTGTGAGGGTGTGTTTTTTGTTTGACAGAGAGGGGCATCAAAGGGCCTTCTAGCACTGTGAATGTAGCCCCTACTCCCCAGAGGAGACTGAAGATGCCGAGGCTACATCACTGTATCACCGGGGGGGGTCAACCTTAAGCCATTAATCATGTCTACATAACCTCCCTCCCACTAGCATATGCCTCTGGCTGGTAGACAGTAAGTCAGTTCGGGCTTTCCTCTGTGTCGCTCTAGAAGCTTTCATACCGGCAGAGAGAAGTGTTAAAACTCTACATTCTCACTTCTGACTCACTGATTTAACCACATTGAGACAGGAGCAGCAGCAGAATACTCCTGTGGTGTAAATCTGTTTGTATTCCCTGTCTCAAAGAAAAGAAGGAAAAAGAAAAAAGAAAGAAAGAAAGAAAGAAAGAAAGGGTCCTCCTGAAATGCAGTTTCTGAGTCAGGGTTAGCGATGTGTTAAAAGCCCAGCTTGTTTGGCAGTAATAGTGCTATGGGAAAGGACGGAGAACCATGGGTGAGCTGGGTTGGGCCGCTGTGTCTTGCTGGCTGGTTGGTTGACGAGTCGAGCTCCTTGTCCCCCCCCCCCCCCCCCCACACACACACACATAACCCCCCTCCCCTCCCCACCCCAGCTCACCCCAACTCTCCTCGTGTGCCTATCCAGAGAGGGATGCTTAATGCCGAGTCGATACAACTCCGCCACCCTCCCTTACACCTCACGTTCCAGGGAACACATATATCCAGTCTACGCTGTCAAACTTTTAGCACCTGCTATTTTGCTCCGGTCCCTTATGTCGATGCCTCTGGTGTTTTCAGGAGGATGGGCCGGGAGAAGTGGGTCAACAAAGGTTGATGCTAAAATGGGGATGAGGGTGAGACTCGGGCCATCGGACTACCGTCCGCTGTTGGCTTCTTTTTTTTCTTTTTCTTTTTTTTGCTTGTGACAACACAGTGGGTGAAAGTAAAATGGTGGATGTGTCAGAGTCAATTCAATGATCTGCTTACCCAATTCAAAGACCAAAACAAAAAAAAGCATCATGAAGTTAACACCCTGTTGTAGGCAATCTCTTTTTTAGGGTTAAATTTATTTCCCATTTTCTCAGTATCTGGAAAAACATCACTAGACTTGAAGAATTCAAAACTTCCGTGAGAACCCAGCACGGCATGCGCCAGGAGATAATATATTTATGAGAGGATAAAAAGTCAGATAAGAGAAGCACAGCTACCTGAAACTCACCCTGCTTCCATACCGTGTAGCTGCCGCGTTGCCCTGGGTGACACTTTCTATAATGCAGTAATCCAAAAATCATGTTAGCATGCCTTGGGGAGTCAAATACAGTGAGTGCAATCCTATTTCCCTGAATGCAGCCAGTACACCTTATTTTTCAAAGATTTGTCTTAACACAAGTGGATTATCATTGCCCCCTGAAAACCCTTCGCATCACAGAAGCATCTAGCTCACATATCCCCGGATACATTTCTACAATAATCCACCGCTCCTTCCACGGGCCGGACACACACACAATAAAAAACAACACACGCACACACACAACATGCAACATGGTGACATTGAGACTTATCTGTTGATATGGCGCAAAGTAGCATCTGATGGTTTTATGCAATCTGGCGTACTTTAATGTATTTTGAGAAAATTCAAACGTGCTGCATATATAGAGAGAATTCCCGCGGGTCTCACCCACTGACTGCTTGCAGATGAGAAAGATTCCCATTTCATGATAATTTGCTTTGCTAGAACGATATGTGAAATAGCCGACATGACATCGAACATGAATATACTTTACATATTCTAATGTTCTCTGAGTAGGGGTTAAGAAAAAAAACGCATTATGACAACAAAAAGAAGTGAATACAAAACACGTTTTTGTCCAGGCTAGAGGGAGAACCTTGTGCTGTTTAAATCATGAAGAAAATGGCGGGGACAAGGAAATAAGAAAAAAAAGGGAGTAATTGATGAAAGCAATATGCACCCGAATGGAAATTCATGAAAGCTGTCACCTTTGTATCTTTGAAGACAGCAGCATGTCTGTAACATAAGCTTTCCTCACGCGGAGGGCCTCTGCTTTAATTAAACGCTAGCAATCCCCCCCCCCCCCACACACTGGAAAATATACTGGGGGACATCTTTGATAAACTTGTGAAATAAATTCTTTCCAATAAAAATGCTCTGGAGGATGATGATTTGCGGAGGAGCGCAGGACGCTGGCACGGTGCACATTGCACTCGGTTCGTTTCCCAGCACCACTCCCTCCAGGGGTCTCGGTGGCGAGGATCTCTAATGAGACTTGCGTTATTAATCCTTGCAATGGGGTACATGAATTCACTCCCGAGCAAAGGCTTCAGCAGCCACCTTGGCCCATAAAACCTGGAATGTATGCCTTTCATGTGCTCTGTTGATGATCTACTCTGACAACAATATGGTAGGACTTCCCTTCCCCTGTCGCGCGGGCCCTGGCCCGGGGCCAAGGAGGGTCATCTCAGACACACTTGGACTTTTATAGGTGGTCAAGAAACACGCTGACAGGTCACAAGTGGGAGCTCCTTTATGAGTGGAGCCTAAACATCTACCTCATTTGGAATTAGTTCATTTATAGGCGGCCTGTAAATCACATTTATTCTGTTTTCTACATTGCTTTCAAATGGCTGAGTCTTTGGGGTCATTTCAGAGAAACCAACCTACTTTGCTTTGGAAAGCGGGGCCATTAAAACAACGGCACTGAGTTTGGTTTTGACAGGATTTTCTCTTCTCTTCAAAGTTCAAAGTTGCGAAACAGTTCAGGTGCCTGCATGGCATCTTGTGGGTGGCGTGAAAGCCAAATAAAAACTTTCTCTTAACATCATTTATTAGAATTTTGCTGATCATGCAAGGGTCCATCGAATAAGAGATTGCACTAACGAGGTGTTGACAGCTCACTATAGAACGACTGCAGCAACACTGAGTCAAGAGAGCAGCACCTCTGCTACGTGTGTGTGTGTGTGTGTGTGTGTGTGTGTGTGTGTGTGTGTGTGTG